AAAAGTTAAGCTCATTCTATGCAGATACAGGCAATGCAAGTTAAAAAGGCAGAAATCAAAAAAACCTGAGATCAAAAATATCAAGCTCAAACACTTTATCACAATAAACAAGAGAAGAAAGACACTTTTTTTTTAATTAAAGAAACATTTTGTTTAAAGCTACTACATCAATTAAAGGGGTAGTATAAAGTATTAGTGACATCTAGTGGTAGCTAATACCAAAATATCCTCTTTTTTGCATATTAATGGAAATTCTAATCAAAAATATTCACTCAAAAAAAATCAAGTTGTAATTTCTGGTATTATTTCCACATAAATTTACAGCCTGTTTGATACAGCCTCACTATAACCGTTATACAGTTGCTACTCCATGAAATATTAAAAGTTGCAGTGTTGGAAGCACTATAATGACTCCGGGTGTAAGAGTTATCATATTTGTGCTGACTATATCCAGCATAGATCCATATGTTGGATAACTGCACGTACCAAACAAGTACAAACTTCTTTTATCCCTGATCTAATACAGAATGTTGAAGTGCAGAAATGGTTTAATACAGGTTTCTCGTGCAGCTATGGTGGAGAAAGAAAGGTGGGCTATCATGGCTAAGTCCACCTGCATGAGTGGATGCATTTTTACATAAGCAATAATGACTATGCACTTAACTGAATTACTCAGCTGAAACAATGTTGAGCTGAAACCTCAGCTTAAATCCTAACCCATCTGCCTCCATCCTTCACCCGTACCAAAATGCTGTACAGCCTATGAGAAGAAGAACACACTGGCACTGTCCTGACGAATCCCTCTGGCCATTAAGGATTTATCGACAGCTGCGTTTTTATGGCGCATTCAAGAACAATAAATTCTTCCAATATCAAAACCTTAAAGCGATATAAACCTATTTTTACTCGCAAACAACTGCAGTCTTAATCCATCCATCCATCCATCTGAAATGTAAGGTGTAAGGGGAAAGTTAAGATATGTATAAAGTTAGGATGTCCACATAAGACTGCTACTGACAGTTTTTTGTTTTTGTTTTTTTTGTCTGTTTAAGCTACTTTTTAATGCATTTGGGGGATTTGGGGAGGTAAATGGGGGATGTTTTTATAGACAAGGTTGCAGGGGAAGAAAAAGACTTGTATATTAGGACATCAACTGCTCTAATTGTTTACATTTCCATCACTTTTCAATCACAGTTAAGAGATCTTAATATTTGCCTATAGATCCCTTTTCTAAAAACTCCACGAAGAACAACACTTTATAATGGATTTTTACTTTGCTGGGAACTATTTAAGCTAAGTGAACTGTATCTGTCAATAAAATATGATAGTGATAAAAACACACTTTTAAGTGTGTGCCAAGCTAAGGAATGAAATATGGAGTTCTAGCAACCCCAAAAATGCTGGCTATCTCCAGGGGATTCCAGTGGTATGTCAGCAGATGTTTTTTAACAAAGCCACACAAAAAACAAAGAAGCGCTTTGACAAAGTGTTGTTTTGCTGTCACAGCCTGCTATAAAAAAAATATGTCAAAATCAAGTATAAATAAAACAGCTGTTTGTATTTACCAACATATTGTAGACATAGAAATGTTATGAATATCTAGATGTTTTAGTTGCAAATACTATAAACATGAAAGCATTAGGCTTTAATAGTGTAACACAAAAAACAAAGAAAGTAAATTACCACGCGCTACCAACTCCCTCGCCTATTAATAACTTTAAAAACCTTTTGGGTATGCAATACCTCTCTGTAGCTTCAATGACACATGCTATGTCATGACACTTGTTTGCTCTTTTCAAAAGAGAATACCAGACAGATGTTTCCACAGTAAAACACTTGACGAGATTTAATCATGATGAGGCCAAATCAATAAAATCAATGATCAGTTGCAACTAATGCAATATTCTCTGAAAGAAGAACTTTTGTTCTATTGCTAAATGCTGACAATGTTATTTACTTAAAGGAAATGCTGAACTTTCAGTTTAAGACAAAGCCCAATTTTTATTTTCAGCAAAACTAATCTAAAATGCAGGGTGACCAAAAAAGTTAAAAGATTATTTTCGAGGCCAACACAGCAAATTCCTACACTTTTCTGACACATTAACTGTCAACACATCTAAAAATGTTTTAATTCCTGACCTGAACAAGATGAGTAAACAAGACTCAACTTTATTCAAGTTGAACTAGGGCCATTAGTGATAAAGGTTAGAGGAGATATTTGGTGCTTATCCTTCCAAAACCTCCTAAAGCTTTAAATTTAAAAACTCAGAAACATATAGAATGCAGCATCTGACTACCTTCCCATAAAAATAATTAATGCATACTCTCTGTCAACAGAAACAGATTTATAATTGTGCAGTTGTTACTTTTTGTTCATAAGAATTGCTGTCCTGGCAGAGGTGGAGTTTAAATAAGCAAGAGCGCCAAGTTTCTAACACTTTACCTAACGTCAACTGCAGCTGCTTTATTTGCCAAGAGAAGATAAGCAGCTGGTGATGTAAAAAAAAATAGATCATGACAAATCATTTAAAATTACTTCAACATGTGATTTGAACATTATACCATAAAATCTGACTAAAAAGGAACAAATCTGTTAAAATAGTAAATAAATATTCTCACCATTAAAGTATCTTTTGATTCCTTTTCAGCACTCACTCTTATTTAGCAGAAGTCAGGTACCACATCACATCTTGATGTGGGATAGTTGTGAACCAAACCTTGTGAACATTCTCCACATTTAATTTGGGACATGTTTTGTCTACGTGCAATTAAATTTAGATATATACTCTAGCTAACTATCAAAATATATCTATAATTGTTTCTTTTTATTAAGTCATGTTATTTAAATTTATTTTTGGAGCCACTGCCATACAGATAAAAATAAAAATCCATTTTCAGTATCATCTTGGTAGCAAAAACCAACTTTTGGGTCAAACGTTACTTGTAGTTAAAAATGTTCAAGATCTCATTCATGATGGATGAAAAAAGTATTATCACTCTACCTGAAGAAGAGTGATAGCAGAGCATAATGCTACTGCAATCCTGTTACACTTTGACAGCTGTGTTATTTAAGTGAGAAAGGTTGATTTGTATGGCACAATTCAGTATATGGACAGTTCAAAGTGGTTAACATGAATTAGACAATAAAATAGAAGAAAAGTAAAAGCAAACACAGATAAAAATATGATTAAAACGGGTAGTAAAACAAATAAAACAGTTGGACAACAAACTTAAACTAATAATACCTCAATTAACAGTTTAACTGCTCCAACAGCTCTAAACAAATTAGTTGTAACATTGACCTAAAAGAACTTTCAGTGCTTGTACCCCCAAACACCAGGCATCATTAAGACATTAGTTTTCAGGCTAAATCTGGTCGATCTGTCATAGTTTTGATTTAGTCCAAAAATAGTTGCATCCACATATAGTTTTTTCCAAGCATCTAGCCAACGCTCTTATAAGTTTATACTCACCTGGTGACATTGTGATTAGTAATATGCACAGTTATGGTAACAGATTTTGTTTTTTTTATATATATAATCAGAGCCAAGGGGAGCATGTAGATGTTGAAAAAGAGGAGCTCCAGAATGGAACTTTGAGGAACCCTGCATGTGATATTAATATCTAATAAAATTGCGTGATCAACAGTATCAAGTGAGGCACTGAGGTCCAATAATACCAGCACTGTGGTCCTCTAGATTTTAAATGTATACGGATGTCATTGAACATCTTAATCAGGGCAGTCTCTATACTGTGGTTGGCACGGAAACCTGACTGGAAGATATCAAAGCAGCTGGTCATTGTTAATAACTCATTGAACTGTTGAAACACACATATTTCAATAATCCTACTGATAAAGGGAGGTTTGGGATGGTTCTGTAGTTCTGCAGGACCAATCAAGCTTCTCTTTTTGAGCAATAGTTTAACAATTGCTGTTTTTAAGCCCCGGGGGGAAACATCTGGCATGAGTGATGTGTTTATGATTTGAATCAAATCAGACTATAAGAAATTTTAAAACTTCTAAAAACCCATGGCTAAAACATAAAGACAGGAGGAAACATGCAGTTTATTTGACAGAATTGGGGCATTTGAACAGAATTTATTCGAACTACAGACAGTATGGGTACTGGAGTGGGCGTCGATATGTATACTGCTTTTCTTATATCTTGTGCTTTCTCAGTTAAAAACTCTGCAAAGTCACTGCAGGCCTTTTTCAAAGAAGGTTCATCGGCCACAGAGACAGGAGGGTTTGTTAACCTTCGACTGTGGCAAATAAGGCTCGAGCATTGTTGGTGTTTTTGTTGATAATCTCAGAGAAGAAAGATGCTCTTGTATCTTTTAGTTGTAAATTATATCTTAGATGTTTCCATTTATAGGGCCTGTTCTTAAAAAAAGAATTCCATTAAGGACTGATCAATTAAATGGGGAAAATAAATATAAGCTAGTGCTTTGCGGATGATCTAGTGACAAGGTAATTTAGCATTTTTTCCCTTCCCAAAACCACAAATTAACAGTAATTTTAAAGTTCCTACTGCAGTAGCTTTGTGGCTTACAGATTGGAAGTGGTAAATTGCATAACAACCCAGTTTGCATCCCCAGGCAGAACCACCATCCCTCAACCTAATTATTTCAAATAATCCAGTGACAACTCGATTAGTTGGCTGAACATCGTGCATTGGTCTGTCCCTGGACTTTGACAGCAAAGCTCCAGCCATATGTTTACCTTAGAACTACTGATCATCAACAAGTGAGGAAAGTGCAACGTTTGCTCAACAGTGAACTTTTCCACATGCATCCGAGCAAACACAGCATTCTGCAAATGATGTCTGACATAAGTGTGATAACAAGTGTCAACAGTATATTGAGCACAAAATCGGAATCACATCAGTTAATATTTGATAGGACACACACTGACAATCTGATGAACTGTCTGAAGAACCGTTCGTCCCCAGTATCGTACCATTTCTTCTCAGTATTCAACATGAAAATTAGTAACTCACCCGATGATGATCTTTGGTCATGATCCATGAGAAATGCAAATCCTGGAGTGGGGAGCCAATCCAAAGCAGAATTGAGGAGTACAAGCAAAATGATGGAGGAGAGCGAGACAGTCATGATGCTAGAGAGGGAAAGAGAGAGGAGGTGAATGACAGAGGGACAAACACAGTGATTGTAATTATCAGTTAAACTTCACAATGCCACATCTATGTGAAAACTAACCCCCCTTCATCCATTAGCTCCCTCTTCTCAGCCTTCCTGTGAGTTCAAATTGTGGTTGGCTATTTTATTATCAGCTGGTGTACATGTAACCCAACACGGCACAGGAGCAATGCACAATAATTGGCCTTTTAGTTTGTTATTGAAGAACTTTAAAGATTAATCTATGAGGCTGTTTTCTGGAACTATTCATTGAATTTTCAGCTAAACAGCAAATAGAACGTTTCACATTTAGTCTTACAACCACAAACATTTATGTTTAAGTAGCTGTAAAGTGGAAGGAAAATTTACATGGTTTTAACGCTGTATGCATGAACCATGAAATAATTGTCAGAAAATTCCTTTAATGAACATACTAACAAATAATAATAATAATAATAAAAAATATATATATATATATATATATATATATATATATATATATATATATATATACACACACACACACATTTCATTTAAACGTCACAATTTTAATAAAAAAATCTCTGTTCAATTTATAATGGATTTTCTGTTCACTTCATAAGTCGGATTGTATACATCAGGTAAAAAAAATGAATTAAATTAAAAACACACTGATGATGAGAAGGGTTGTCAAAAACCCATGAATGCTACACTTGGCATTACAACAAAATGTTTAAAAAAAAAGAAAACTGAAAATGCGTCGTGCATTTGTATTCAGCCTCTTTGAGTTGTGATTTCTAGAACAGGGATTTTCATCTGGTGGTTTAAACTATTGTAATACTTTATTAATTCATGTTTTTGCCTTTTCCTCTTAATAAAAATATGAGCTTTTTATTTCACTTGTGGTTAACTTTCCCAAATGTTTCTGATGGAAAAAAAAAGTCACCATGTCAATTCTTCCCTTTTTAAATTCATAGCTCCACTTAGCTTTCAGACGGTAATATTATGTCCCTGTCCGCCTTCTCCCATTTTAGATTCACCAAAAAGACTGCTAATACTTGCATACTTGTCGACAAAATATTGAGTTGCATCCAAATATTAAAATTACTAAAGGAATGGTGTGAGATAATTTATATTTCAGATTTGGCTCTACATGTTGCTTTTATTTTTGATTAGCTCAATTTTGACCTACATTTCTTGGTCAGGAAAATTGTGATTAATAACAATCAAAATTGTCATTATAATTACTCATGGTAAATTATAGCATTTTTGATCAGTTATTTACTTCTAACTGATACAATCCAAATAAGAGATGCACCATTAATTTGGAGGAAATCATGATCTGCCAGTTTTTATTTGTTGGACTCTGAGTTGTGCTGAAAGAGTTAAAAAACTGAATCAGAAGGTCACAACTCAAAGAAAATCCATATTGGTCAGGAATGGTCTAACTAGTACACCTCCTAAAAAAACCGTCAAATCTCCTACACAGTTCCATTTGAAACTTTCTCCACTGGTAGCGGTTCAACCTCTGATCAGACCAGTCTATTTTGAAATATTACCACTTATGACACCTAATCCAGCACTTATACTTAAGGCTGAGCTCCTGCATTTAGATCCCATTTATCACAGAACCTCATTTGTCAAATCCTAGTTCTGTTTTATATTCAATTCAACCATGTAAAGATACAATTTAAATGCTTATTAAGCTTTGGTACCAAGTAAGTAGAATAAATACAGCTCTTGAAAAAATAAGCTATAATTTTCAATTCAATTTATTTATATAGCACCAATTCACAACACATGTAATCTCAAGGCACATTACAGATACAATTCTGCCAGATCATACTCATATTGGTTCAAAGTTTTCTAAGGAAAACCAGTTGATTGCATCAACTCATTGACTCGAAGGCAATCCCTCACACCAAGCATGCTTGTAGCGACAGTGGAGAGGAAAAATATATGATATAAAATAGAAATATCAGAATGAAGAATAGAAACGTATGATTTCGTCTGCCTACAAAGTGCAAATAGCAATGAAGTCACTGTTTGTAAAAGAAAAGCAAAAAATAGAAACAAAACTAAAGGGTAATTTACAAAAGATGCTCAGTCTTTCAAAAACCACACTTCCAAACAAGCCCGTCCCAGACACTGCCAACTAGCCATGCTATTCTATTACAACAACACTCAGAGGTTTGCTGTTTGTTATCCTTTTCAAATAACTGAATATTGTCAACAACAGAGAGAACCCTCCATGGTCATTCAGAATGTGCTAAAGGACAAGTTCTACAAGAGAAGTCCAACCTCTAAATTTAGGCCGAACCTTCAGTCCACACCCTTAGCTATTTACAGCTGCGCTGCTTAAGCTTGCTGGGCAACCAGCAACTCTGAACGTGGAGCACTGGTCTCTGCCAGTGTTTTTCCAAACTCTGATGCTGAATCTTAACTTTGTTTCAAATTCAATTGTTTCCTGTTCATTGCACCTTTTTAATTAGTAATAAAAAAAAAAAAAATTAAAAAAAAGATGATTCATAAATATGTTTACCAAGAGTTTCAGACTTTCACTGTGTAGTAAAGCTCAGGATATTGGACAACAACGTTTTTCTTTATGTTTAATGTCCGGGCTGAAGTGTACGTCCTGTGTGTGTGTGTGTGCCTGAATTCCATGTGCCAAGGGGCCACAGAAGGCCAAGTTATACAATGCAGGAATTCATGGCAGAAAGCTGTCAAGCAGCAGGCTCATCTGGACCCAGAAGAATGCCCCACTTACTTTGTGTGTTGCTCAGTTTCAGCATTGGCCATGCAATCTTTAAAATAACTCAGTCCCCCTTCCAATTAAGCTTTAATAACTTGCAAATATTCACATCATCTTTTAGCTGATGCTCTATTAATCCCACGAGAACTTTCAAATCATTTTCACACATCGCTTCTACTTGGTATTTTCTTTCAGAGTCTATTTTAATGTATATGGAGGATCTGAACTGAATAAAACGTAGAGCTTCTTTGCTCCAACATGTGGCCTCATGTTAATCCTTTAAAAGTGTCTGGAAAGCCTTTTTACGGCTGCATGTTTGTCCCTTATTTCTGTTTAGGCCAATGAGAAGCTCTCAGATTCCCAGGAAAATCGTGGGGTCCAATAAGAGAAGAGGGAGGATCAGTGAGAGCCTCCCTGGTTCCCTTGGTAAACATGTGGGGTCAACCCTTCTCCCAAAACAGTTTTCATTAAACGCACATGCATGCATGCAAAATGAGCACATCACTACCACCCACACATACATGCATGAGGGTTTATTCTAACTAAAGTTTCACTTATCACCTTGCTGCCAACAACATGCTTCTGCCATGTTTCCTCAAATTTCTACTAATCATCCTTGTTTGTTCCAAATCAGCTGAAGGGGAGGGGCTGAGGGAGTCAGAAATAAATAGGATGGTGGTACAAAGGTGAAAGCAAAGAAAATTAAAAGGTCAGAAGAGGAGAGGTCATTTCATTTCTGTTAGATTCTCTTCAATGCATCATAAAAGCATACAATCCCACACACACCCACAGAGCAATGTTGCAAGCCTGAGTTCAGCCTGAGTTTCATCTGAAGAGAACACAGGGTACAGAAATTTTGCAAACCCTGTGCAGACTACTTGTTTTAAATATGACTACAATTATAGGTGTTAAAAAAATAGGAGTGTCAATTTCTAGCTTTTTTATTCCAGCTAAGCATGTGGGCATCATAAAGAATAAATGAAATAAAATATTAGGTTTAATAATAGGTAAGAAAATCTCAGATTTTGATTTTATCCATTTTACACTCTCAATTTTACTGGTATACATTCATAGAAATTCAAGGAAAGACAATCCTAATTGCTTAGGTAGAAGGCAAGGACAAAAAACCCCCGAAGAATTTCAGCATCTGTTTTGACGTATAAGTTGAAAAGCTTAATCGTACTCGTACTCGCACTCATACTTAACTCTCGCTTTATCCCGAAGGAAGTGTTCCAGGGAGCATCCAAAAAAGATGTCCAAGCCACCTCTGCTGGCTCTTCTTGATGTAGAGGAGAATCAAGTCTACTTAGAGCCTTTCCTTAATGACCAAGCGCCTCACGCTATCTCTAAAGGTGTACCCGGCCACCCAGCAGAAAAAAGCTAATTTAATCTGCTTATATCCTGGATATCGTTCTTTCAGTCCTGATACAGATTTCATGATTGTAAGTGAGGCAGGAACATAGACTAACTGACCAAGAGCTTTGCCTTTTCGCTCAGCTCTCTCTTTACCAACAGACTGGTGCAGCATCCGCATTATAACAGCTGCGATACCAATCTGTCTATCAATCTCCCGCTCTCCCTTACTCGCAAACGGGACCCAAAGATACTTGAACTCCTCCACTTGAGGCAGGAACTCTTCTCCAACCCAAAGGGAACAAGCACCTGAATTTCTGGCCGAAAAGCCTATGTCCATTGCAAATGTTAGGATATTCTATAGTAGTGGACATAGCACCAAGATAGGAGGAGTGTGCAGTCATTAGAAGGATGTTACAACTCGCAAACTTTCAGTTAACCTGTAACATCTAGATTACACATCCATTGCTCCTGTATGTGTCCGTTCCATGGGAGGGTGTTGAGCACCGCTTCAAATTGTTTTTAAGACCTTTGAGAGCATGCGCAAGAGATCCGGCCAGAGACAAGCGGACCGCAGCTGTGCAGAAAATTTTAGTTGCTCTTTCTCTTTTTTAATTTCTGAGTTTCAACGCCCCACAGGCGTGAACATGTGTAAGTGGAGCAAAAACAGAGGATGAGAAACGGCCTGGGGGGAAACAGCCCTATTCTTTGCTCCTGTTCATCATACAGTATCTATCAAAATTAAGTGCTATGTTTCCTGTCGAGGCCTGAGTGCTAAAGACAAAGTAATTGTATCAATAAATTTCTCCTAATTGTATTTTCTCTTTGTGTATGTTTTTTCAGATTAGAATGTGAATTTACACACTCCTGAAAATATCTTCATTTTTATCTTGTTA